CTGTCAATTTATATTCGAAAATCATCTTGATCAAATGACCGATTTAAGGTAACATCAAATACGATTATAAAAAAAGTTGCCAAATTTACAGTTAAATGTGGAAAAATTAACAATAAACCGATGGCAGGTTTGGTGTTACATTTTATACAATTATCTACGACAATTATCCAAAAAGTGGTAACATTTACTGAAGAATGTTGTAAAATTTTCAATAAAGATGTGATTGGTTCAAGTTTTAATCTAATACAACTGTCAGTACATATAAGAAAAATATCTGGAACAAATGACTGATTTAAGGTAACATCAAATACAATTATGAAAAAAGTAGTCAAACTTAGTGAAATGTAGAAAAAATATCAAGAAAGCGATGAGAAATGTAGAAAATATATCAAAAAACCGATGGCAGGTTTGGTGTTACATTCTATACAATTATCTTTAAAATATGGTCGATTTAAGGTAATATCTAAGTGAATTATCCAAAAAGTGGTGAAATTTACTGAAAAGTGAACTTCTTTTAATAAAGCTGTGATTGGTTCAAAATAATTTCTCATATAACTGTGTACAAATTTGTTGAATTCGTTTTTAAATATAGTAAAATAATCAATTAAGGTAGTGACCAATTGAAGGTTACAGCTTATTAAACTATCTTGAAAAATGATCTAATTAAGGATATATCTTAAAATCTTAATAGTTGTTACGTTTCGTGAAATATAATACAATTATCAATAACGAAAATGGCCGATTTAAAGGTAATATATAATAAAATTTTTTGGATCAAATGACCGATTTAAGGTAACATCAAATACAATTATCAAAAAAGGAGTCAAATTAACAGAAAAATGTAAAAAAATTATCAAGAAACCGATGGCAGGTCTTGTGTTACATTCTATATAATTATCTTTAAAATATGGTCATTTAAGGTAATATCTAAATGAATTATCCAAGAAGTGGTGAAATTTACTGAAAAGTGAACTTCTTTTAATAAAGCTGTGATTGGTTGAAAATAATTTCTCATACAACTGTGTACAAATTTGTTGAATTCTTTTTTAATATAGTAAAATAATCAATTAAGACAGTGACCAATTGAAGGTTACAGCTTATTAAATTATCTAGAAAAATGACCTAATTAAGGAAATATCTTAAAATCTTAAAAGTTGTTACGTTTCGTGAAATATAATACAACTATCAATAACGAAAATGGCCGATTTAAAGGTAATATATAATAATTTTTTTTGGAACAAATGACCAAAAATGTGATATTTTTGTGGAAATTTGAGCCTTTTCCAGTAGATGGCGCTGAAAAATCTAAAAATAGCTTAAAATACAATTTCAGTTAGAATTTTTTTTCTCTTGACTATCATAACATGTGTGCAAAATTTCATCTCATTTGGTTGACATGTCATGTGGACCCCCTTATAAGCATTTTGCATTGTTCTATCAAAGACTGGGTGTTAAATGAAAACAAATTATTGCCATCTTTAAAATGTTTGGCCGTGGTTTTAGAAAATTTACCTTTTATTTATGCATTGTGTTTCATAATATTGTCATCGGATTGCGAGATGAAATCCCAGAGTCAATTTTTCCCCAAGACGTCCGTCATGCTTGCATGCAATTCGGCCGTGTCTTAACGCGAAAAATAAGGAAGGAAATTATTCAAGTTTTCCGTCTTACCCATCAGCAGAGGAATACAGATATTTGGTAGATTATGTGATTAAAATGTAAAAAAACGTAAAAAAAAAATTCGATTAGGTAGAGCGGAAAACCCGGAAATTCTATACTAAGGTAGTATGGGGATTCGTATGGTATTGCATTGAATGTCAAAAACAATGTTACTGTATAGTAAACAGAGCAATGTCAAAAACCTTGTGATTGATTGATTGATTGTTGGTTGCTTTACGCCGCATTTGCACAACAAGGCTATATCGCGGCGAGAGCTAATTCGAATATTTTTTTACAATTTAAAGCATATTCTTAAAATCAGACAAAAGGCCCTTCAATAAACTAAAATTCTAGATTAAAGCAAATTGATTATTTACAAATAAAAATGAACATTAATGATTTAGGTTACAGAAAGTACACTGTTTGCTGAATTTTGGTTGAATCTTTAATGTTGAAGGTATATATGTTGAAAAATGCTGTTTAAAAGTTGATTCTTTTATGTTCAAATCAAGGCACTGGCTGTGGTTACACACAGAAACTAAAAAACAATAAGAAATAGCTAAATTGTTATAAGCGCTGGTGAAGTGGACCCCCTTTTTTATTTTTGTGTTTCTTTTAATTGACAATATTTTTTTTCATATTTCAACCTATTTTTACTCAATTTAGCTTATAGTTAATAATTATAAGTGCATGTTCAACAGTTTTTATAATAAATGCAATTCTACTTTATACATTTTCCCTCTTATTCAATTGTATACGACTCCCGATACGACTTAAAAAGTCTCAATATATTTTTTTTGGTTAATTACAAACAATTAATTAACAGTGGCAGATCCAGATTTTTTTTAAAAGGGCACTGACTATAACATATAATATATATGGGTCCGCTCTAGTCATGCTTCAGTGATTCCATTTATAATTTACCCCCCCCCCCACACACCTTTGATCCGCCTATGAATACTAAGCGGTGATAAAACTGAATAGCAGAAATGGTGACTCTTTCAAGTTCAGGTTGTATATAAATGCCAAACGAATGACCAACTTTAACTAATTAAGTCCACAATATAATTATATCGTCATATTGACAAAAATGATAGTCGGAAATTATCAAATAGAACGAAAGCACGCGTGCGCGGCTTTTGGCGGCATTTCTCTGCATACGCGCGTTGGTCAAGTCACTCCTAAATCCAAAACAGCACATCACCCAGAAGAAGATTGTATTAGAAGTTTTGTAAGTATATATTAACTTGTCTACAAATATATGGATACTTTAAATTTTGTTTTATCATACTTAAAAATTATATATTATTCTTTCAACATCAGTTAGATAAACTGTTTAGTCGCGACAGGAAATATATATTATTGCATGGTGGACATTTTGAGGTGAATCAACTAAACATTCAAAGAAATTATTAATTAGCCAACACAATTTGTCAGTTTAAATAAACGTAATTAAATCAATTCATATTTATTCAGATAAGATTGCTTCTGGGTATGGAAATTATGTTTTAATTTAAAAAAACGAGGTGAATTTTGACACGGAACAAAAAACCGGAAGTATGTTCGCATTTGTAAGGATTTTAGGTAAATTTATAAACAAAAATTTGACACGCTAAATATGATCAAATATAAAACGCTCGTATTTACGCTGTCTTTGAACTAAGTCATTGAGTGTAGTAGTCGGTCGAGGACCAGCTTAATATATTCTAACCAGATGATGTAAAAAAATGAAAAAGTAAGATGAAGGACCTCGTTTTGAATCCTAAACTTTTTTTCAGAAATTAATGAATATAACTGTATAACATAAATCACCTGGAACTTGTACAGCTGTCATGACTACATGTAGTCATTATTGAAGAGTGACCATGACTTCTCTAGTTGAAAAATTAACATATATTCTTGCATTTGTAAACAAATGTAATTTATGTAGTAAATCACATTGTAGTCTGATTTGTCCCTTTTATTACAGTGCGGTCGAGATAAAGCCATTAACAAAAATTCAGTGTTGAAGATTGAATGCACCACCCGGGGGGCCTACTGACCATCTTTTTGGGTATAACTGTGCCGATAGCACTTGCCAAATGAGACCCTGTTCTAACCAGAAAATATTGAAAAACATACCCTGTTCTAGACACACTCAGAACATTTATACCCTGTTTAAGATATTTAGACTGTTATTTTACATAAGCGATCCTGTTCTAGACTGTATGTTTAAAAAGTGTCCCTGTTCTAACAACAGGACATGAAAAAAGGACCCTGTTCTAAAAGCATGGCATGAAAGAAAAAGGGACCCTGTTTTGCGGCACACCCATACCACGTAAAATATATATAAAGATATATAATACAGAGTTTTATTTCTACTGTACTCAATATCCTGTACATATAAAAATAAGAAGTGGTATATATCGATGCCAATGAGACAACGAATCCATCCATCATGTCCAAGACTCAATGCAGTGAAATAATGTACATTGTAAGTGTATACACCATGTTATATGGAAACCTGGGTTGATTTTCCTTTTTGATTCTTACAAAATAGCAGTAGTGGTAATCTTAGTATTTTATTTTTAGTAGCGAGTGATGCTTTTGTATATCTTGGCAACTTCAAATAAAATTGAGTGAACAAATACTGTTTTAAAATTCATGTAAATAATATAAATTGAACAAAAGAAGATGGGGTATGAGTGCCAATTAGACTCTTAATCGAAGATTTATTGTACATGTATTTAATTCATGTTAATTGTATATATTTAGTCAGATTCATCATTATTGTATCCATGCACTTGTAATTGACAGAAGTAGTGAATACACTATTTACTTTTGTCTGTCTCATGATGATGGGTGGCAAGGTCCTCACAAGGTTGGTGTCTGTCTCAGATGGCCATTCTTAACCTTTTTTAGAAGGTAAAAATGTACTAATGGGTGTGGTTTCATTATTTTGGTATTTTGCTTTTAACAACAAGTGACACTTTTTCAAATCCTGGCAGTTTGAAATAATAAGTAACTACAAATAGGGGCTGGTGCACACTTAGTTACAGATGTCACCATCATGTGTACCTGTATATGCTTTGAAGTTATGCATTGTATACAAAATGTCTCCAGGAGCTACATGTAGCATGGTCAGATAGATGTCAAGAAAAGATATTTTGGTCTCCTAAGAGGGATATATAATCGACAGTTTATAAATTTATGTAAATTTTTACCCAAAGGTTTGAATTTTATTTAAATTTTTTTACCAACTATATAGCTAACTGACATTGAAATTAGCAATAAATGATTAAAAAATGTATAACTATTTTCACTGTTTCATTACAGGTTTTATAGTCTGTTAATTATTTGATTATAAGTAGTCTGGATATACCATTATAAAATAGGATGGCAGAAGGAAATGGAAGAGATCTACCTGTGAGTTTATAAAATTACTTTTTTTAAGCATTAAATTATAAAACCGAAAAACATGGCTTCACTCAGCGTTGGATGTTGATATCTTATCAATAATAAAAGTCTGTAAATTAAATACATGTATTAAATTAAATCAATTATAAAAATATAGCACTCGCAGAGAGAAATTCATCTGTGATGGTTTCTCAATTTCAGAGATGAATCCATTTTGCAGAGGAGCCTACAGGGAGGAGATAACTGCTATTTGGCATGTTGCATGAGAATGCATGTCACATGTTTTTGTCACAATCATGTTTATTGAGGATTTTGAAATATTTGACCCCATAGAATAAACAAACTAGGCTATATATATATGGAACTTTAATATAATGTTCCTTAGAGTATCTATTTTATAAATTGTATAAGTTTTGATCAATTGACAAACATGACCGCCATAGCTATAAATAGAACATAGGGGTTATTTTAAGGAAATTTTGCAGTTTTTGATCACTATCTTGAATATTATTATAGATAAAGAGAAACTGTAAACAGTAAAACTGTTAAGCAAAATAAGATCTACTAATAAGTCAATAATACCAAAATTGTCAATTGACCTTATAAGGATTTATTGCCCTTAAAACTTAAAGATATTTTACTTAAATTTCTTTTACTTGTTAGCTTACTTTAAAAAATCTTCTCCTTTGAAACTGCTGAATAAATTTCAGCCAAACGAGTTTCAGAGTATTTAGTATAAATTTTATATTTATTTCCTTGTACGTCAAGAAACATAGCCTGTATTGGCTAAAATAGAACATAGGGGTAAAATGCATTGTTTTGCTTTTGAAGAAGATATGACCAGATTAAAGAATATATTTATATAAATTAAAAAGCCAAAATAATCATTGATGAAAGATTAAAATAAATAATTTAAGGTGAGCGATTCAGGCTCTTGAGAGCCTCTTGTTTATAGTTACTTGTACAATTCTTTCCAGAATTTTATGAAACTTATGTCATAGGTTTATATCAACAATTCACACGACTCTGACAACTTCAAAATTTGGTACCAATCACTTTTTTTAATAGAAAATTTTCAAGAATTTTATAAAACAAATTCTATATAGAATAATATCAGCAATATCTCTAACAATTCTAAAATGGTTGCCATTTGACTTTTTAAAAAAGAGTGATGCCATCTGTATTTGTAACATTTGATACATGAATTGTTTGCAACGTGGGGAACATGGAAACTATGTTCTCTTATATATTTTACTTCAGAATCACTGTTTTCTATTCTTATGCATGTAAACCTAAATGCATGCATGCAGCAGAGCCTCATGGGCCATTTTTTATATCAAGTTTTTTGTTTGATTGCTGTATTTTTTGGAAACTTTTATGATTGAAGCCAGAGTATAGAAAACCAAGAAAATCTCTGAGGAAACTATATAAAAAATAATATGTTATAAAGTCATCCTTTAATAACAACAATTGTCCACATATTAGTCAAAATTAAAATGGTTACCCAAGTCTTAAAAATGTACCCAAAAGCCCCCTTCATTTTATTGTAAATTTTAAATGCTGCTGGAAAATTATCATTGTGTGGATCTATAAGAGACAAAATAAATGTGAGCATATCTTCAAAATGGTTTTCCCCCCAAGGGTGACTGGGGAATAGAAGTATGGTCACCATTGGTCTTCCTCCGACCGGCAGTAAAACCCGTGCTAAAGTGGGGCGTCCGTTTGGCTGTGCGGGATGTACAAATTTGCAGCCACGTCCGGTCAGAATGGGGACGTTAAATCCGATGCCTCGTGTAAAGAGAGTGCCACGCTCTTTGCACGTTAAGAACCCTTGCAAAAACTCATTGAGGGGTCCGTAGGTGACCTGTTGCAAGGCTAAATTTCTGTCCCTATCCAATATACCCTCATTTCCCGTGGCAGTCTAAATTTCTCCGACCTTAATCCCTTAATCTTTTACAGAACCTACCTATTGTATTTATTGTGAACTTGTTCTCGTCCTGAATATGCATGAAATATTTGCCACTGGACGTTAAGCAACCAACAATCAATCAATCAATCAAAATGGTTTTATCAAGAATAAACTTAGAATTGTCAGTTATATATACTAATATCAATCTGAAACTTGATAAAAAAGAATATTAATTTTAAAATTTCTGCCCAGCCTACATGTATACCCTATTTTGTTTTGCCTAATCTATGAAACATCAGGGGCGGATGCAGGAATTTTCAAAAGGGGGGGGGGGTGCAAAATATATGTCCCGATACAAATGCATTGATCGGCCAAAATAAAGGGGGGGTGCGGAACCCCTCCCCCCTCTGGATCCGCCACTGAACATTATGTCACAACGAAACAATTATTAAAATTAAATAGATAATTTTCAGACTTAATTAAGGCCAGACTTTTTTTATTATTTGTTAAGAGAGAAAATTTTGGGCGAAATAGAAATAAAAGTCAAAAGTTGTGCTCAGTTGGTTCCAAAAATGAAAATACAATTAATTATGATTAGAAAAAAAAACCTGCAAAATAACTAACGGTTCTCATTCAAGATTATTTTTTTCTGGTTCTTAACATAGAGGGTAGGCAGGTAGGAGGGAAAGTAAAAATAAAAGTTGACAAAGTCTATTTTATTTTGGTTTTCCAAAACTTAGGGTAGGCTTATGTCGTTGAAAAACAATAAAAAGTCTAGCCTAAAGGATTATCATATTTATATTAAAGGGCAAACGAAATGCATGATCAACTTTCAGGAATTTTAACACAACATATAACATGTATAAACATATGCATGTAACAAAATTCAAACCTTTTACAACGCTCATATCTTAGAAGATGGAGAATGTATAACACTGAGGTAGAAAACTTGGCTTGCCTAAGTGATGATGAGGAAAGTGTGTCAAGCCATGTATCAGCTGTACAAGAAGGTTCAGATAGAATGCATGAATTGTCTGAAAGTCAGAGCAGTAACATTAATATTAATCATGAATATGGCAACAATGAAAATGAAGCGAGTAGTGATAATGTCGAAAGCAGTAATGATGAAGAAATAAGTAGTGAAGAAGAACAGAGTAGTGAAAATGATAGTTCTGGAAGTAGCCGAGTATCAAGTGAAGATGAACAATCTGATTCTGATAATAATGATCTTTGTAAAGATTTAGCTGAATGGGCCACTGAGAACAAAACATCAAGAGATGGCTTAAATTCTTTGTTATTTATCTTTAGAAAATATGGACACCGCGTTCCAAAGGATTCTAGAACACTGTTAAAAACTCCTCGACATATCGATATAAATAAAAAATGTGGAGGTGACTATATATATTTAGGAATTGAAAGTGGTATTTTAAAAATTTTGACTCAAAACGCAAGACATTTTACAAGAAATAATGAGCTGTTGTTAGATTTTAACATTGATGGTATCCCACTTTTAAATCATGCAGTTTGTCAAAAATGGCTTTATACTGTGGAAATTCCAAGCCAAATTCTGTGTCAGATTTTTTAGGAGAGTTGGAAAATTTAAAAACGCATGGAATAACTTTTAATGAAATTTTATACACCGTCAAATTAAATGCTTTTATATGTGATGCTCCAGCCAGGTCCTTCATAAAATGTACTGTAGGTCACAATGGTTACTACAGCTGTGAAAGATGTACCATTAGGGGTGAGTGGAATGGCCGTGTTGTTTTTAATTCATCTGATAACAGTCCTCCATTGCGAACTGAGGAGGAATTTAGAGCATGCCTATACAGCAACCATCAAACATCACGCTCACCATTAATAGATGCAGGACTGTTTTGCATAAATACCTTCCCACTTGACTACATGCATTTAGTTTGTCTAGGTGTAGTGAAGAGGATTCTTATGTTCCTGAAGCAAGGTCCAAGGGAGTGCAAGTTGTCACAACAACAACTTAAATTGATATCAGACAAACTAAAAAACCTCCGTGGGAAAATGCCAAGGGAGTTTGCTAGACAGCCACGTTCTCTTGAATTGGACAAATGGAAAGCAACAGAATTCAGAGTTTGTCTTGTACAGTGGGCCCTAAGTGCTGAAGTCTGTTCTTTCTAGGGCTATGTACAACCATTTTTTAACATTGACCGTGGCCTTAAGCATTCTTTTAGACTCAATTAAAGAAACCAGAAATGCCTACTTGGATTATGCCCAAGAACTTATGACATATTTTGTGAAGAATGCCACAACTCTATATGGAAATACATTTGTTTCCTATAATGTTCATGCATTGGTCCATGTTACTGATGACGTAAAAAACTATGATACATCACTCAACGATTTGAGTGCATTTCAGTTTGAAAATTATTTACACCAGATTAAAAAGAAGGTTAAAAATGGACAAAACCCTATTGTGCAAGTAGTCAAGCGATTGACAGAGGCAGAAAAGTCTAATATTCGTCGTATTCATAGTAAGACCTTTATGTATGTATCCATGAAAAAAAAGGATGGTTGTTTTCTTCTCTGGAATCAGAATTTCGCCTTTGTCAGAGAACGACGCCCAGGAAAAAAATATGTTTGTGATATATTAAAGCCACAATATACTGAACAATTTTTCAAGGAGCCATGTGATTCCAAATTGATTAACATTGCTGTTGCTAAAAACATAGAAAGATATGCTTCAAGGCAAATGGTGGAAGAAGCTGACATTGAAAGAAAAGTTGTTTGCTTGCCATATGAAGGAGGGTACCTGTTGATGCCTATGTTGCATGGTATTGAGAGACATTAGGTAAAGATTCAATAACATATACACATTCATATTTTAAGCTAATGTGTAATTGTGTAAATAGATTTACAAGTTAATACTACAAAATGCATGTTAGAGGTTTATTGAATGTAAAACATAGAATGTTTTAATACTAGAATGGGCCTAAATTCCTTTTGTGAAATATTAAACATTTTTTAATGCATTTAAGGTACATTAGAGAGTTGGAAAAACACCCTCTATAAAAGAACAAAATATAATAAAATTCATGTTATAAAATGTGATAATTTTAATTTTGTGCATCCTCAGGCATGATAAATTAGTGCATGAAGCATCATGGTACATTTTCACGCATGTTGTAGCATTAGGTTACAATATTATTGTTAATTCATATATTACAACTTTTTCATAGGAAAATAGTGAAGCAACATGGGCGTTGGCTGTTTGGAAGGAGCAGGGTGAAGAGGAGGAGGGAACTTTACCACTCTCTTGGATTGGAGAGAAACACATCATGTGGCCACCTGGCACCAATGTAAAAAGGTTAATGAAAGAGATGAAAAAACCAAGTGACAACTGGATGAAGTTTGAGTTGGTAAAAATCAAGTTTAAATCTAGTAAGTATAAATTTATTTTATTTATATCATGCATATATATATACCAAATTTGCAAATAAACACAATTCTGAAAGCTCTTGTCCTTTTTTAATCTGTTTAAAATTTTACAATGCTGATTAAGGTGTTGATTGAGTGGCTTCTGTAGACCTTAAACTTTCAAAAACTGTTATACATGTACTTTTATTTTAGTAGTCAATTATAAATCTGAAAGTACCAACACTACATTTTAATCAGAATGTTTGAAAGGACCATTAAAAAAAGTATTTCCTTTTTTCTGTTCGTCTACTTCAATTTAAACCATATTAGAATAAAGAATGTAAACAGGGAATATGTCAAAAAGACAACAACTCTACCAAAATAAAACAACCCAAGACCACCAATTTGAAAACCTGTACCCAGAGTTGGGCTTGAGCAGGCCTGGAAACCCTTATGTATACCAGACCATGAGGATTGATCCACTCGAAGCAAAATAGAAAAAAATACACAACTAACAAACTATTTATATATGCAAAAAAAATTGTTTTAAACGATGGGTGCACTCTTTACTAGTTATTGTAATTATTTTGATCTAAACATTTGGTTATTTCTGGAAAATTTTATGTATTAAAAAATGTTGAACTTTATATTTTGATAAATTTACAGACAAAAGAAAAGAATGTGAAGATTATGACTTTACCACTACAGCTGAATTATCTCCTGATGAAGCTGATAGTGATCATGGGAAAAAAAGGATACTTAAGAAAAAAGTGTTCCAAGACTTTATTACAGGTATAAATTTCTACCAATAGATGTCGCCATAAATCAAATAATATCTTTTGAACAATAAAAACAATTCCAGTATTTATATTGATACGTATTAACTAATAGAGAAAAAAATAATGTTTTTCTTCTGAGCAAAATTATGTGTCTCATTCTAAGAAGTCCATCAATTATTTATTCATTGATAAGATATTATTTCAACTTATGATGTTATAAATTAGTTTTAATTTCCAGTTGTCTGCCATTTGCTGAGAATGTGTTTGTCAGTCCAATTTATTTTGTGTACTTTAAGTATCAGACATATTAAAAGTGCTGGAGCTGTAAATCAATATATGGATGCTGCTATATATATAACAATAAGGATCAATATGATCATTCTTTCTCAAAGAGGATATAAATGCAATACTGGATCAATTTTTGAACCAGATTAAAGGCTATTTCCTGTATTGCAGATCACACAAAAAATGTTTTGCTGACCTTTGGACTCCATTTATTTCAGCCGATGTCCCTAAACATTTTGCCAGGTTTTTTTTTTTGCCTATAAATAATTTTACCATATTTTCTATATATTTCAGAAATTGGTAATGAAGAAGGCACAAAAGCTACTGATAAATCAGGTACAAAAAATACTCTCTCGCTATTCATTTGTTTTTACCTAATTTATTATTTTATGTCAACAAATAGCTGCTTTAAATCAATGTTATAAATAATATTCAGACAAGTTTTTTGCTCTATCTAACAAGTAGTTGTGAGAAAAGTTAATGTTGAACCCTGTTTTTTTCTGTTTAATTTAAAATGTACCACATTGTAAAACTGCTTTTATTGTAGTTGGAGCATCTAAAAATGGAAAAAATAAGGATAAGGGTGAAAGTCAAGCTACTGTTCCAAGAAACCAAGGTAAGGAAAACAAAATCAGCTTAAAATTTGTGCATGATTATATATTTGTTAAAGTTAAAGACTTTAAATGTTATAAGTACATATATACGTATACATGTATGCTTGAGTAATGTTATAGTTTGAAGAAAAATGCTTTTTAAATTAAAATCTAGACTTTCATGACATGCAAACTTACGAGACTTGAGCCATTGAAAAATCAAGGTTATCTTAATCAGTTCAAGGGTTTCTGTTTTACTAATTTTAACTAGCAGTATAATTGTGGTTTTGTCATATCATTGTCTAAAGCATTTGATTTGAAGTTTGATGACTGTCTATCGTAGTTATGTGTGTAACTTTAGTGTATGGTTTCATTTCTTAAATTGTGTCACAGAGTTATACATTTGTAATTATGATACATGCATGTACAAGATCCTTTAATGTCAATTCAACAAAGAATAACACACCATACAAGATGTTATTTTAAGCATAATTTAAGTTATTCACTTAATTTCAGAAAAATCTTCATCAATGCCGAAGCCTCCCACAAAGTTAATTGAAAGAAACGCACAGTGCAAAGAATTGGGTGAGTTTGATAAATAGCTTTAATTAAAATATACATTGAACTAAATTTTTTTGTTAACTCCTGTGAAATATTGGTTGCCACCAGAGATAAAAAAGGTGTATTATTAAATGAATAGATTATTCAAAATGATGCCTAGAGGATTGTGTTTTCTTTTTTGTGGAAGTATGCTGTCTAATGAGTCCATTGCTTTCAAATTATCTTTATGAAAACTAAATCTGGGTATCAATAAATATGAAGTTGTTAAATTTTCAATCAAAATTACTTCTGTTTACCAAAAATAAATTGGTGGCCCTTTAGTAGAATAAGCCTGTTGAATAAACCATTTTAAGGGTACAGTGAAACCTGACTAAACCGAACCTCTTTGGGACTTGATATGTTGTTCGGTTTTGGCAGGTATTCGGTTTAATCAGGTTCATAATGCATAAAATGTGATATGATTGGTCTTCAGAACAAGTTTGTTTTAGACAGGTTTTCGGTTTAGTCAGGGTTCGGTTTAGTCAGGTTTCACTGTACATGTTTGTATCCATACGGGGCCACCTTTAAAAAACTACTGTTTGGTGTTGCCTTATATTATCACAGTCTGTGCCAAAAACTTTTTCATCTACTTGTACGAAATCTAAATATCAAAATTTGTCCCTATATGCCTATATTAAATTTTGGAAATTGGTACTAGTCCAAATCAATATTTACTAGTATGGTTCATAGGACTAGTGGCAACCTCGGAGCAGGAAATAATCTTAAAATTTTTTTTGTGAAGGCTGCTTTTTAGGAGAAAAAGGCATGTTTCGATGAATTTTAATAGAAAATGTTATTTATGACGTAAACTGTTCCTGTTGTCTTTTTTATGTGCTTTTGTTATATGATTGCTTTAAATGGAAAAAGAAATAATTGTTTGCCTTCTTTTTAATTCCATAGTTACAGAGAAGAAGAGTTCCAGTCAGACTTCTAACCACAGAGATTCTAGATCGCCATCAAAAAAATTGAGTTCCAGTCAGACTTCTAACCACAGAGAGTCTAGATCGCCATCAAAAAAATTGAAGTCTACAAATACATTGAAGTCCACAACAAGACCATCTACCAGGCAAGAATCACCACCATTTCGTCAGAAGTCAATATCTCGATCACCACTTATCACACAGAGGTCCAGATCATGATCAAGATCCCCACCATTATCTCAGAGGTCAAGATCTAGATCTCCATCAAACAATCAGACATGGAGATCTAGATCAAGAAGCTATTCACCGCCGACAGATATTTTTTCAAAACTAAAATCTATTTATTCCTATTCGTCCAAGTCCACAACAAGATCACCAACAACACAGAATCCATCACAAAGAAAACCGTCAAACACAACTCAAAAATCCACAATACCTTCAATAGAGGAGATATTACAAGAATTGAAAAAAAGATCCTCACATAGTCTCCATACTCAGAAATCAAAATCTAGTGAAGATAGGTCACATTCAACAGGGAACAGTCAAGGGTCTAGATCTTCCTCACCTCTTGAGGATTATCTACTGCCAAGCTCACAATCTCAACCACAGAGAGTTTCTACCAACAACAACAGAGCAAGGTCTAGATCACCACTAGAGGATTGGCAGTCATTCAGCAGCAACATAAGCTCAAGGTCTCATGTCAGGGAAAATACTTCAACACCAGCTGCAAAAAATATACCATCTGGCAGAAAGACGAGTAACAATTCAGAGACATTTCCAATGTCTGATGAACGTAAGTGTAAATTTACATCTGCATTTCAAAATGATATCACACAAAATTTTGAATCAAACACTAGGAAATACCTTCAACATGCCTTACTATTTTGATATTTACCTGCACCACACAACTACTACTTCAATTGTTGGTTAACCCTAGATGTTTCAGTTTTATTTTGATATTTATTAAGGAAAGGTTTTGAAAATACTAATTTTTTTCTTATGAGAGCTTTCTGCATAGAAATTGTTTTTATGCCCCACCTACGATAGTAGAGGGGCATTATGTTTTCTAGTCTGTGCGTCCGTTTGTCTGTTCATCTGTCTGTCCTGTGTCAGGTTAAAGTTTTTGGTCAAGGTAGTTTTTGATGAAGTTGAAGTCCAATCAACTTGAAACTTTGTACACATGTTCCCTATGATATATTTTTAATTTAAATGCCAAATAAGGGTTTTGACCCCAATTTCACGGTCCACTGAACATAGAAAATGATAGTGCGAGTGGGGCATCCCTGTACTATGGACACATTCTTGTTTACATATAATACATGTCACATTTACACCCTTACTATATATATGTATTGAATATACTGGGTATTTAAGACAAGGCATTGTAATGTTGCATTAATCATAGATTGGTTTTATCATTTTAGGTTTCCAGAGAAGAGTATTGTTTTTACTAACAGAAACAAGAGACCTGCTGAAAAAAAATCAGTGTGCCACAACTGCACAGACACACTGTGAACTTGAAAGGGCGGAAACCTTAGAAGAATTTTTTGAATTGGAAAATGCCTTGGATGATGTAGCTCAGCAGACAAGATTGGTTAGTTTTATATTACAGTTTATGTTTTTTTATAAATATAATGTTTTGTTCTGACATATAATATTTAAAAATAATAATCAAAATACATGCTTGATAATGATTCTTTTGAAACTAGACATTTTTACTATGATTCTCCTTTAAATTATTTTATTTGTTTTTATTAGTTTCAGATGAAAATTATGCTTTGCACAGGAAAGTGATACATATTAACAATGATAATTTTTCGGAAAAATAAGCACATAAAGAATTTTAATTTCTCACAGACACATTTGTTGTTTTGAAGGGTCATTGTTAATTTCAGTCAATGCATACAAGTATACAAAAACCATTTTTGTTTATAGACAGAATATTTGAGAAGAATTGGAGGTGCTGGAAGCAGTGACCTAATGAAGAAAGCCATGACATGGTAAGTTGAAAGAGACTACAATTTATTTACAAAAGTCTGTCGAAAAGATTAAATAATTCTGTTAATGCCAGTTGAAAAAGTAATTCATTGTGTTTAAGGGGCACTAGCTTTGGAGTTTATAAAAATTAAATGATTTTTTTTTGCAAACATTTATGTGGAATTTTAAAATAATATTTCGCTATTAGCAGTCAGTTTGGTTTACATTTTGTCATAATGAGCTAATAAATTCTCTAAATGTATTACTCAATTGAAACTGAATAATTCACTTGTTTAAATTCATATTACTTTGAACTTCAATTTGCCCCTTAACCGGCATTTGTTATGTATGAGCTTAGCAAGTTTAGTTAATATTGAAAAGAAAGAAATATCAACCTTTCAATAGAATGGTCAATTGCACTTCCTTAATTGTCTTTTATTTTGACATATTTTGTAACCAGGTTGAAGAAAAAATGTTATACTGGGTATTTTATTTTAATGTATTTAGATATTGAAACTGCATATTCACTTTTAATATGTATGCAAATTTTGTTTTTTTTATACCCTGAAAAAACAAAATTTAGGGGATATATATGATAAATATTTCTTGTCAGAATTTCAAGGGAGATAATTGATTTTACTTAGTTAATATTGCAATAAATGGCAACAAGTCTTGTAAGCACAACTACTAACAAATTAATCAATATTGATGAAACTTTACACAGTTGTTGTACACAACCCGAAGATGTGCATGATGGAGGATATTTCTGATCTGATTTTTTTCAAGGGAGAAATTGCAATTACTTAATTTAAATATCACAATATGTGGCATAACGGGATGGGGGTATCCTTAGTGAGTTAACTCATAGTTTTATGCAATACTCTTATAATGCATAATACTATCCACACTCATCTGTGTCCACTTGTTTTTATTAGCAGTAGAAACCTGTATTCAAATATTTAAACTTCAATCCTAAGAAAATGAACTAGGTTGAAATTAAGTGGTCATATTGTATCAGATTTATATTTTGTGTTCCAGAATGATGTCAAACATTGTCATGGCAAGAATGAACCTAAAAGGGAAAAAGAATAAGATAGCTTTCCTAAAAACAAAGCTTTACAAGGTGATCTCAGGTAAGCTTTGATAAATCAATAAACATGACAACATTATTAATTTATAGACATTTTGATTTGCTGAACTTTTGAAAAAAAACTTTAAAAAAACCATGCATTCAATGGATTGAAACTAGACTTTGAACAGGTGCCAATTCAAAATTAAAAATTGCCACCATGGAAGGTAAAAGTTTTGTAAAGATGATCTATTATCTAGCATTTATATATATATTTTATATTATCTTTTTGATATAATTTGATTATTTTATATATAAATTAAAGAGAAAATAAAAAAATATTCACTTTATTCAAGTAATTAGTTTATGTTGTTGAACAGGATTTTTTTAGCATTGATATCAATCAAAAATGAAATTAGTTGCAAGCTTACTTACAAACTCCAAGGAATATTATTTGAATTGTAATTTGGGCTTCTTATTTTTGATAAATAAGTGTAAATAAGTATGTGATGATAGAAGGGTTAGCAATTTCAGGCTCTTAGGGACTTGATGGGTGCTTTGAATGTGACCTGTATAGAAACAAATTGAAATTTCAACAAAATGGTTTCAGCCTGGTGGCATATTTCTATCTAGAAATTGTTATAAATTTATTGCAAGGAATATAAATTATAAACAATGATATTTTTCATTTATTTTACTCAATGTATGTTTTTTTTTACCAACTAATTCTAAACTTCACTAGAAGCCTTACAGTAAGCTTTATTTGCATCAACCCTCCATTTTCAGCAAAGTACTTGTTGTGTTATTTATATTTTATTGAGTGTGCAAAGTTTTGGCAAATGACACTGTTCACAATAATTGATTTGAAGTATACATATTTTAAGACTTACCATGATGTATATGTGTTTACAGGATGCGTAATGATGGTGTATCCTGAGATCACAGAAACTAAAGTAAAGGAAGATATTGGGAAGTTTTTAAAATATGCCCCCGAGAGAGCTGGAGGAGGGGGAAGGACCAGCAAAGATTAATCCAAATTACAAAAATAAATTCAATTTTAAACAAATTTATTGCATTCATTTCACTTACTTCAATCAAGAAAGGTGTCCAAAATTAGAGCAGACATCAGTGAAATTCTGAAAGAACTTATTTTATCAGTTCACTATTTCTGTGTGTAACTACAGTTACAGACAAATACTCAAAACTTGATTTACCGACGATAAATTACTGTTTGCTGCTTAAAATAAATAACCTCAATTCAGACCGACTTATAGGCGGGTCAAGCCTGAATCCTCAGATTTTCAAACTGAAAAGGGCATCCGACTTATAGGCAGATTGACTTATAAGCGAGTATCTACAGTAGTTTCTTTGCTAGCTGAACCGTGAAGTCATTACTAGCTCGGATTAATACCTCCTTTTGGCGGAGTCTAGTCAGCCAGAGAACCAATAAAAAAGTGTAAACATAAACATTGTACTACAGTTTTACCTATTTAGAATCCACATGCAAGACTCATTCCATATTTGGAAGGTGTACATGAGCTAATAATGACTTTGTGGTTCATGTAGCATGGAAGCTAATCAAATAGTTTGGTTTTACCTACACTTTAAGTCCGATGGCTGTAATAGGTATTTTTTTATTTCTCATTTTATATATAGATGAGACTCTTGGTTTTCCTGTTTGCATTGTTTAACACTGATATTTTTGCCTTGATAGCTTTCTGTTGTGTGAGCCAAGACGTCTTTCCCTGTTGAAGGCAATTATTAACCTATAATTGCTTACTTTAACAAAGTTGTGACTTGGATGGAAAGTTAGTCTCATTAGCATTCATACCACATCTAATTTATACTGTTCACCTTAATCAACTGTTTTCCTTTTCATCGATTATTCAATTTCAGTCAGTCTACCAAAAATCAGCCTTGTTGAAACCTTGAAATAATTGTTATTTACATATTGTCAACCAAAAATCAACCTTATTTCAACGTTGAAATATGATGTTGTTTCAACGTCAACCTTTCAACCTATTCTCAACCAAAAATCAACATTGTTTCAACGTCGAAATATGACGTTGTTTCAACGTCACCTTTTCAACGTCATCTCAACTTTCAAAATCAACAGTTAAATCAACGTCATTTCAACGTTGAAAGTCGACGTTATTTCAACGTTGAAACAACGTTGAAATGCCTGGTGGGCATGTACTTACTTGGTGAAAAGTTGGATCAAAGAAGAAGTCTAGGGCATGGTCTAATTTCTCTCCGTCCATTTTCTCTTTTTTTTGCATTTTCTTTTGATGGCACACTCATCCCTTTGTTAAAAAGAAACCGCCTTATTAAATATCTCAAATATGCATATATCAAACAAGAAATTATGCATTTATTACAACTGCTGATCAAATATGAAGTAATTATGTACAGTAGTAATTTGATAAGGAGTGAAGAAAGCAAATGAACTCTATAAACAGGGAGCATAATATTATAGGATTAAACGCCTTTTTAAAGGAATTTTTTAGTGTATAAACTCGACCAATGCATTCACAAACAAATAAAAGTGAGACATTTATGATATGTTTGTGAGTGACTTGGTCCAGTTTATACACCAATAAATTCCTTTAAAAAGGCGTTTAATCCTTATAATTCTTTAGAAATTGAGAAAAGGAATTCATTTTCCCACACTCGTAACCTCTATCACACATAAATTGTATATTTGTGTCATTGAATTGGCCTGGCGCATGAATATATATATGTTGGTAAACGCAAAAATATGTACTCTTTTAAATTTCTGATAATAAATAAACTGCAAAAAACTCTTATTATCATTCAAATGAATGTTTTGTGTTTATTATTTAATTTAATGATTAACGCGAAGTGAAAATACATTTTGTTAATGTCGAGCTGGACTGTGTTATTATCGCCATTATCTTGTTAACATTGGTTACGAAAAGAAGTTGGGTCAACGTCGTCTATCAAAAAATAAACAACGTCAAGAACAACTACCGGAAGTCCTCTCGACCAATCATATCAACGTATTCCCTAATATGCAAATCATATAAGAATTATTACAAAACAATTGAGATATATCATAAGGATCATGCATACTCTATATCTGTTCTTTATCAGCATTTCAATTTGATTTAACTACAACATCTTAATAAATTACCTTGAACAAAAAATGTACCATAAAATATATGTTAGCATATGATAATCATTGGAGTGACAAATTTATTTTAAAATTTTCTGTTTCCTGATAAGATCTGTAGGACAGAATACATAATATATAAAGTTTGAAATTTACTAGAGTCCTCGGGTTCACCCCCTACCCCCCTTCTTTTTGAAAACTTTTAACGGTCAAGATCCCCACCATGAACAATCTGGACAATAAAACAAATCAAATGAAATAAACGGTGAGTCCCCTGAGGTCAAACCAACCCCCTCCTGTTTGAGAACTTGTAGACGGTCGAGATCCTCACCCTGAAACCCTATATATTCTTGTATGTGACAATAAAACAAATCAAATGAAATAAAAGGCCAGTCCCCTGAGGTCATCCCCACCCCTCCTGTTTGAGAACTTGTCAACGGTCGAGATCCCCACCCCGAAACCATATAAATTCTTGTATGGGACAATAAAATAAATGAAATGAAACATAGGGGAAGTCCATGGGGGTAACCCCCGCCCCCCCCCCCCCCCTTCTTTTTGATAACTTGTAAACGGTCAAGATCCCCACCCAGAAACCCTATATATTCTTGTATGGGACAATAAAACAAATCAAATGAAATATAGGGGAAGTCCATTGGGGTAATCCCCCCCCCCCCTTCTTTTTGAAAACTTGTAAACGGTAGAGATCCCCACCCATAAACCATATATATTCTTGTACTGGACAATAAAACAAATCAAATGAAATTTTTGGGAAGTCCCCTAGGGTCATTCCCACCCCCCTCATGTTTAAGAACTTGTAAAAGGTAAAGATCCCCACCCTGAAACCAGATATATTCTTGTATGGGACAAAAAAACAAATCATATGAAATAATTGCCTTAATACTGAACTCACCTGCTCCAATCATGGTTGCATGTTTACGAGCTTCATCAACGGCATGAACTGTCACTCCTGTAATTAGCTGCTGTTACTCTGATTTGGTATGGGAATGTGCAATCATAGACAATAACTGTTTTTTCAAGCTTCTGTCTGAATTCTCCATGTACAAATTCAATACCACTTCATGTAAGTTCCAGTATCACCCTTACTGTCTGGCTCTTGTAGAATCTTTAATAATTTGGTACTTTGCCCAGGTGCAATTGCGTAAAAACAAGATAATTCTTACTAATAAATTTCTTATATACCCACTTCTCTAATTTTCGGTGAAAGTAACAATCTCTCAGCCCTTTGGTTAAAAACAAACACTGATAATTAACATGTGAATTTTTGTCCTCGACATACGTTTGGCTAAGAAATTGATTGTCCTGGACTCCATCTTGAATGCCCTAATTAATGGTCTGAGGTGATTTATTTCATTTATACAAGCTATATTTCTTAAGCTCGTGCTGAAAGTACTGTCATTTTACTATCGCGATTGGAGAAATCTGATAATCCACTCGTTACAATGTAAGAAGCTTTATTCTGTATGTTATTATGTGCTCATAAAAAAATCATTCAATCAACATGGGTCATGAAACCTTTTTTTTTGGTGTGGCCCTTACATTTTTCAGTGGATGTCTTGCAAGGAGCAGGACCTGCTTCCACACCAGAGCACCTGAGGTCCCCACGGTTAATTTGGAGTGCATGTTTATCTTTTGTTTTTAAATTGCAATGCTGAATGTAACTTCTTATTTGTCCTTGTGTTTCTTATTCGTTCAAAAGTTTGTCTTTTGTCCATTGATTGCCCTTCTTTTTAGATAGTGCTTCGGTTGTCAGTTTTTTTTTATTTTTAAATACCGCATTTTATTTCATGCCTTGTAAAAAATTTACTCACCATTACTAAATATTTCATGCATATTCAGGACGAGAACAAATTAACAATAAATACAATAGGTAGGTTCTGTAATAGGGGCTTCCGGGATTAAGGTCGGAGAAATTTAGACATGTCATGAATGTTCAGGACGAGAACAAGTTAACAATAAATACAATAGGCAGGTGTTGTAATAGAAGCCATCCGGGATGAAGGTCAGGGAAATTTGGACTGCCACTGGAAAATGAGGGTATACTGGATAGGGACAGAAATTTAGCCTTGCAACAGCTCTTTGAGGGGTCCGTAGGTGACCTGTTGCAAGGCTAAATGTCTGTCCCTATCCATAATACCCTCATTTCCCGTGGCAGTCTAAATTTCTCCGACCTTAATCCCGGTTGCCCCTATTACAGAACCTACCTATTGTATTTATTGCTAATTTGTTCTCGTCCTGAATATGCATGACATATTTGCCACTGGACGTTAAGCAACCAACAATCAATTAATCAATGCTGACTGTTTTTGCCTATTTTGATTTACAAATAAAGTATTTAAATTGTCAAATATTAAGTAAGACTCTTAATTAAAACAACTGCAGCATTGCATGAAATTGAAACAATCAGTTTATATTAGGGACACAATCATTTGTTCTCTGTAATCGTTGTGGATGCCTTTTTGCAGGTGTTGATCCTTCAATTTCATGCACCATTGAAGTCACTGTCTTTTACATTTAATTTGTTGATTATGTATACTGAAAAATAAAAGTAGAACAATCTAGCATATGAAAGTATAATCATACAAAAGTCTTTTACACGTTTTGAAGGCTACTTCCTATGTCGTATCAATTGGTCTTTTTTTCCTGCTCATACAATTTATTCTGAAATGGCCTTTACTCAAATATAAGTTATGCATGTTTTGCTCTTATTCCCTTTGTCACAATTAGCAAGCCCATTCAAAAATGGAAAATTGTCATAAAAAATGACAAACAGGAAGTGTATAGATACGGATAATGAAAATAAAATGTTGGATTCAATAACTAGAGTTCATTTTAAAGGGTTGGTAGGCAGGAATAACTTTTAATTTAATTTTATTCTTTTTGCGTTGAATTAACATGGCATGTT